TATTTTGAGAAATCCGTCATTTAAAATATGGTGTTCTGACCTTTTTTTATTACAGTATTTTTTTCTAAAACTAAGAGGACATACAGCATATTGATCTTTCCACTTAATTTCAAATTATCCAAAATTATAATAAATGAAATCAAGAGAAGAGAATAGAATAAATAGTGCAAAATGGAGTAAGATTTAAAATATAAATTCTCCATAAAATATAGAGTTTGGTTCAGAAACTAATGTACCACTGATAAGTCCAAAATGTCACAGTCTCCTTAAACCCCTCCTCCAATGACAAAACGGGTATCCTCTTGGACACATGAACAAATTATTTTAGGGCAAACTACATTTGATCAAGTTGATTGTGACTATTACATAATATTCTACATAAATCAAAGTATTTATTTATTAGAGGTGTTACATGTTTATTCTTCCACTATTCTTACAGATGAATAGCAGTGTTTATTAATTCACTGCAATTTCCTAAATTTATAAAACTTTCTAATAGAAAAATCAAAGTGCTTATATTATAAATTTTGCTCTTAAATTTAATCCACCTAAAACAAAGATAATGTTTATTTTTAATTACAAACGAATTAGGCTTCAACCAGCTATTAAACAGTGCACTATTATTTACAAGTAAAAAAGGAGCTGGGTGTGGTGGTGCACGCCTGTAATCCCAACACTCTGGGAGGCTGAGACAGGAGACTTGGAGCCCAGCATGGGAAACATAGGAACTTAGCAAGATTCTCTCTCAAAATTATAAAGAGGGGGTGGAATTAGGGAACGTAGCTCAGTGAGAAGGGCCTGGGATTCCCCCAGTATAGTTTAAAAAAAAAAAAAAGTTAAAAACTATGCATAGAATCCTGGCAGTGTTTCATTAAATACTGTCTCTCAGAGTTATGGTGCAATGAAGGACCGTCTGTTTAAGTTCCTAACTTTCTGAAGATAAAACCTGTTTATCACAGAAGTTCATCATTCGTATTAGTTAGGAACATATGTTATTCAGAACAGGGACTGACTGCAGTGGCTTAGGACCCTCAACTTTCAATTTATGATACTGGTGTTTCGGGAAGATTATGGCAAGGCACACAGGGAGCCCCCAGATCTAGTTTGTAACACTAGCCCTATCAATGGTCTCATATAAACCTCAATCATCTTAGTTTGGCCTAATAACTATACCATGTGTATGAATCATAGTTCTATAAGGCCAGAGTTTCTTCCAAGATGGAAGCCTTATCTCTGTTTATTATATTTCTTCCCTACTCTTAATGCTTCTATCTGTGACACTGAGAAGATCAACAGCTAAGACGTTCCAGCTTGCATAAATCCAAGGAGTGAAGCAACACCTGGTTGGTAGAGGGAAAGCCTGGGTATATTCTGCTCAGTTCTGTGACTCTTACCTGTAAGGTATTATAGGCATCAGGGCATAATAGATCTTGATCATCTCTCCAGGGCCAGCCAGACCTGCATTAGCACTGCCTACGACTATGGTTAAATCTGCTAAACTGCAGGGTTTAGCAAGTAGATCCCCAGGCCTTCATAGTGTAATCTAACAGTAATAAAGGTCCTATTTTGATTCTGTGTCACTCCTTGGTTTCAAGTCGTATGCTCAAATAGAAAATGAAGGGAGATCACTAATTGAGGGGGTCTCTCAGTGGCCAACAGAAATGTATGGATCAACACTTCATAGTACTAAGATGAAATGAAATTCTCAAAGAGGCTAAATTTAAAAAACAGCATTTTATTGAGTATTATCTTGTTGTATGCTTTCATTTTATTAAAACTATACTCCTAGCATTACTGAAATTATAACATACTTTAATTCTTACCCATATAGGTAAATATACAAACATTATTTAATCATACATGGGTCCATGTTTTATAACTGTAAAATGTGTCATGACTATATTGCTACTATAATAGCTGAATATACTAACACCTTACACTTTACTTTGGTCTATCTGAAATTTATATGGTGTTATGGTTGATACATTGTGTCAACTTGGGGAGTCTAGAGGTTTGGCTAAGTGACTCAGCAGGAAGCCAGAGTGCTTACTTTGTATACATCCTGAGCCTGTGGAAGAGAAGGGCAAAGATTATGTGAGAGCTACACGCCCCTTAGGTGGGGGTAGCCTGTTTACAGTGTAAGGCAGGGAAAAAAGCTGCTTGCCTCCATTCCTCCCTTTTGCTCTGGCTGCTTTGCTGTTCGGCTGCCATTCCCCCCTTTGCTCTTGTTGCTTTGCTACCTTCTGCCTCGGAGCCAGCCAAGTATGGACTGAAACCTCCACAAACTGTGAGCCAAATAAACCTTTCCTTCCTTCATTTTGGGCATTGGGTATTTTGCCTCAGCAACGAGAGAAAAGTAACCAGGACATATGGTATTTGAAAATACCAAAATTTCTTTGAGTTAGTTTTCTAAGGTTCTTTCAATGGTGTGTATTCTTCTCATAAAGACATGTGAGAGTAAATTCACTGTATTGCAAGCTTTGGAATATGGAAATTTTCAAATATATATCACAACTGTTGAACTCTTAAAAATACAGCAGTTTAGAATAGCTAAGATCAAGTACCTTCCCAGTAAGTTAGGTAGAAAATAGTACCTAGAAGTTTTAGCTCCTAGAACTACAAATTTTGGAAGACTGACCAGATTTCTCATTTCAAAACCAATAATATTCAGTCAGATTTAAGTCTTTTATCATCTACTTTTGGGAGTAATTCTCTAACATTGAACCCTAGACATTACTGAGATAAGCAGTTATGTGATAGCCCTTATTTACTCATAATTAAAGGAATCATCTAAGGAATACATCAAAACTAAAAACATCTATGAAACAACAAAATGTTGTCCACACGCTTTTCTTCCTTTCTTCTTTCCTTCCTTCCTTCCTTCCTTCCTTTTCTTTCTTTCTTCTTTTCTAGAACTTTCTGGTTTTATAGGTTTGTGAGGAGAGAAATTCAGAGAAAAAAATAATTGTAAGAGCAAGGACTTAATTTTGGTGCAGCTTTGCTGTTGGAGACCATTATGAAATCTGAGCAGGATTTTATATTAACCAATTGGCTTTCGGTGTTTACTTGTGAGTTGTCTGAAGCTTACGCACCTTGTCTGGGGATGGGCAAGGGACTCATAATATTTAAACCTCTGTGACTCACTGGTCACCTCTGAGATCTATATTGGCCTGTGAAGCTGTGGACAAGATAAGGCCACAGCTGAGGACATCTGGCTCCAACCCCAATTAACTTAAGGGAGAAGGCAGCTGCAGGCATCTCACTCCAGCTATGAAGGCCTTCCTGAAGATAACATAGTTCTAAATTAACATAATGTATTACTTGGAGAAGTCCTTGAAGGGATTCCCAAATCCTGTCCAGATTTTTGCATTTTCTTCAGGATCCCCTCCCTTGTTTGTAAACCAAATAAATATGGGTTGCCCAGAGACATCTTTGTCCAGCCATTAATTAAAGAAAGCTAGTAAATATCCAAAAAGGGTAGGGAGGTATATTAAATGAGAGGAAAAGAGATTTCCTTTAAATTGAGCTTAAAGTTGTTAAGATTTCCTTAAGCTACTGAGGTAGAACTTAGATCTGTTAAGTCAAGTTCAAGTAACCTTTAATTTTGACTCTGAATTCTGTACGAATATACTTTCCCTCCATCCTCTCAAGATAGAGAAAGACACTAGGCCAAATATAATAGCAATTTTCAAAATTTCTTTGAAAACAAATGCTTTAAACCCTTCATTAAAGACTCAGAGGTCCAAAAAACAGAGTAACGTAATAAAAGACCAAATTATTCTCTCTTGTGATTCCTGGAATGGCTCACTTAAAGTCTCATTAATTCTGGACTTGGTAATAACATTAAATCAACTTCTACATGCACAGCTCCAAGTTAGCCACTGGTCTGCTACGGAGACCTTTCTTACAGAAACAACTTAGCGAAACACCTGCACAGGTGTATAATACTAAACAGTGAGTACAAACTCCCCTCAGCAAGAATATTTCAGAAGACTCTAAATTTAAAAACCCAGACCTACTAAGACGGGAACCAACCCTGGCAGGTAGTGTTTGAACCAAATCTTCAAGCACTACTGTCTGTTCCTGATGAATACTTCCTAAAGCTTTTAAACAGAAATGTAGCTTGAAGGGAAAATATTTACATACTCAGGAAAATCCAAAGAGTGAAGGAAAGAAAATCTCAGATGATTTAAAGATAAGAAAAAATTAAACCACTAGATATAGAATATAAGGGTTTTCCAAGTACAAAACAAGTTACACAAATCAGTAAAAAATATACTGACAAATAAAAAAATTGTTCACAAAAGAAACATATAGTATAAATGAAGCAGTTAATAGATTTTTTTTTAAGAAAAGATGAAAGCAAGGTCCTGTTTCTTGTACACTTAGTGAAGATTAAATGGAAAACTGAAGGCAGCAAAGCACACAACAAATAAAAATAAAATAAAGTAGAAATCAGTTTGTCAGAGGTGGCTTAGTCTGACTCATTTATTTGACTTCTGTTCACTCTTTATTAGAAACATAGCCCTGAATATAGAAAACATTTTATAGAAGGGAAAAAATTTTAAAATAGCATCAGGAAAAGTTTAAAGATATTAAAGAAGTATACTATAATACGCAAAACCATCACTAAACAAACATGTATACACCCACAAGAACAATGTCATAGTATAACCCAACCATTTAAGAATTTTTTTAAAATGTGGAAATATTTATGTCTTAATCTATGTAAAAAGCAGATGTGAAGATATTACATTATAGAGTGTATGTTAAAAATTGGCACAGAAAAAAAAATTTAAATATCAATTACAAAGCAGTATCTAAATAATAAAACACTGTTTTATTTGGTCTCATGCTACTCTGTGGATTTATAAGACTTATTAGTCAATATCTGCCAATCAAGCTATTTTCTGCAAAACAGACATATGATCATGTAAGTATCATCTAAGTAACTTCTAATTATTCACAAGTTTTTAGAAATGTTATTACTAGGAACTTACCACATGAGTAGATTTTAATGTACTGCCATCAAATCTGCATAAACTGGAACTCTCCTCAAAGAAAATATCACATTCTTCTAACTCTTGAGCATTACAAGGAGGTTTTTCTTTATCTGGATTTGGATTCTTAGACCAGAAAATAAAAGAAGTAAATAAGTAAAATAATGATAGAGAAATGGGTTTACTCATTCTTGGAAATGTTACAATTATAGCAATAATTAAAAACAAATTCCAGCTGGTTGTGGCGGTGCACGCCTGTAATCCTGGCACTCTGGAGGCTGAGGCAGGAGAATTGATGTAAGTTTGAGACCAGCCTGGGCCACAAAGTGAGCTCAAGGCGAGCCTGAACTGCACAGTGAGATGCTGTCTGAAAAAAAAAAAAAAATTCCAGAGCCAAGATCAATTACAAAAAACAATTAAAAGAGAAATAGAGATGACAGAATGGTGCTAGCAAAAAGGACATTAAAAAACCCATTATGCACATATATGTTTTATACACTCAAAGATGTGAAGGTACATGAACAGAAGCATGTTGAGACAAAATACACAAAACACATGGGACTGACAGCAGATTAGACACTGCAGAAGTAAAGACCAGTGACCCTGAAATGCAGCAAAGGACTACCTAAAACTGGGCCAGGGATGTATCTCAGCAGCACAAGCACCTGCCTGGCAAGAGCAAGGTCCTGAGTTCGAGGTCCAGTACAAAAAAAAACAGGGACAGAGACTATCTAAAATGAAGCAAAAGGACAAAAACAAAACCACAGAACCTCAGTAACCTGTGGGAAGATATCAAACAGTCTAACTTATAAGTAATGGGAAGAGAACTGGAAAAAAATGAAGGCGGGTGCGGTGGCACACGCCTGTCATCCCAGCACTTGGGAGGCTGAGGCAGGAGGATTGTTGTGAGTTTGAGGCCAGCCTGGGCTGCATAGTACAACCCTGTCTCAAAAAGACCAAAAAAAAAAAAAAAGAAAAAGAAAATGAAAAAGCTCCAAATTTTTCAAATGTTATTAAAAACTATAACCTCATAAGTGTAAGAATATCAAAGAATGTTAAGCATAACGGTTTTTTAACATGTTCGCAATAGGGCCATGATTCCTGTCTTGCTGCCTGACAACTAACGCACTCACTGGTGGTACATGCATGACTATTCCATCAGGCAGCTTTTTATTAATCTTATTAGTGAAAATACTGATAAAAGTGATGAGATCCATTTGTACCATGAGAAGTACAGGCCCTCCAGTGGGACAGCCATGCATATGCCCCCTGTGATGTACGCTGGTGGGAATGTGATACAAAAAAAAAAAAAATCAAAGATCACCATAAGTCACAACAATGAGATTGCTGAAAAGCAGTAATAAAGAGAAAGTCCTAAAAGCAGTCAGAGAAGAAAACAGTATATTATGTAAGGTGAAACAGAGCTACAAGACAGCTGACTTCTCACTATACATGAAGGAAGCTAAAATACGATGGCGCATTTCTGAAGCTCTAAAAGGGCAAAAACCCCAGCTTTGGAAAAAAAAAAGACAAGCTAAACGTTCTGTTTCGTGTGGTCCTAAGGACTGAATCCTGCGCTTTGCACATTCTAGTCAAGCACTCTGCCACTGAATAATATCTCCAGATTTTTACGTTTTTTAAAAAGATTTGAGACAGTATCTCCCTAAACTGCCCAGGCTTTCCTTGAATTGAAATCCTTGGGCCTCAGCCTCCTGAGTAGCTGAGATTTCAGTCATGTGCCACCACCCCCAGCCAAAGTAAGTGTTTCTGCAGACAATCAAACGCTAAGAGAATCTGTCAGACCTGTACTACAAGTGATGCTAGTGGAAGTTTCTCAGAGAAGAAAAAAATAGATAAAATCCAAAGCAACAAAAAAACAATGTAGAACAGAGGTAGGTAATGACAGGTATGGAGGTAAATGAGACCTTTTCTCATTTTTAATCTCTTCAAAAAAGAACTGGATAATTAAGCCTAAAATATGACATTTTATGAGGTTTTTGTAACATGGAAATAATATGTATGAAAATAGTAATACAAAGGATGGAAGGATGGATATATAAAGTTCTTAAATTATAATTAAAGTGATATAACATTCTGTTGAAAATAAATGGTGATAAAGTTGTGTACCTACAACAACCACTAATTCACACACAAACAGGCACCCAAACAAAAACACAAAAGTATGGTTAATAATAAGCCAAAAATAGAGACAAATGGAATCATAAAAGTAATTTTAGTATATGCCCCTGCCTGAACACAAGAATCTCTTCCTGGACTTATATCCCTCTGAAAGTAACAGTATCAAAATTAATAAAGCAATACATTATATACATAACTGTAAATAGAATTCTAAAACTGATGAAATGTGCACACATTTAGTTTGCCAAAATAAGTACAGTGTTGAGAATTTAATGAAGTGACTTCAGAGATTCTGTGAAACTAAATGGATGAGGCTGGACATGGTGGTGTATGGCTATAAAGACGTTAAATTCATTATTAAAAACCTTTCAAAAAAGAAAACTTCAAAAACAGATGGTTAAAATAATAATGCAACAATAATAACGCAAATTCTATATAATCTCTTCCAGAAACAGAAGAGGTAACACTTCCCCAATTGTTTTAATGAGTATCACCAGACACCAAAACCAGTAAAAGACACACACACAAAAAACAAAACACTGTCCAGTATTTCTCAGAAACAGGTATAAAACTCCTTAACAAAACATGAGCAAATAGAATCTAGCAACATGTAAAGAAGATACTGTATCATGACTAAGGAAAGCGTATCCTAGGTATGCAAAAAATGCTATTCATGATAAAAATTCTCAGCGCAGTAGGAATAAAAGAAAATTTCCGCCAAGTATAAAAAGAATGTATCATGCTTAACAATGCAATACCTTTTCCCAAAGATGACAAGATAGGAACGCCTGATCTTACCATTTTCACTATTCTACTTAACAGTGGAATAGTGGTCCTAATCACCACATGAAGGCACATTTAAAGATGAGAAAAATTCAAAATTGTCTTTGATTGTAGATGACAAGATTATATGTTTATCTTTTTAAAATGTAACAAAAACACTGATGCTCAGGTATAAGTAACTTTTCCATACAAACAAGTATTTCTCTGAAACTCAAAGTAGTTTATAACTACTACTATTATACTATAACTACTACTATGGTAGTTTATAACTATAACTATTACTACTACTATGATAAAGTAGTTTATAAAGTAGGAGAATTACCTATGATTTCAAAAACAATTTTCTAATATTGTTATTGTATTCCCAGAGCCTGTCACAATAAAAACTGGCTGAATGAACGAACATAGGGCAATGTAACTTAAATGACTTGTTGCAAAATGGGGATGAAATCAAAAGTTCTGTAGTTTTACACACACAAATTCTAGGAATTTCTAAAATAGCCAATCATTGCTGGAAAACACGAAACTTCTTTTCTCTATTTTGGCCATGTTTCCCTTTGTCAAAGACATCCACTTTCAATATTCTAATCTTTCTTTCCTAACTATGGGATAAATAATTGTTAAGTCTTCCTCATTACTGTAATTCAAGATGGCGATAAATCAGGCATTTTACAAATAATTATATACAATAATTTTTGATAAACGAATATGTAATTGACATCCTGGAGCATAACTGCTGGATCTGTTCAAATTCTCAACATGATCTTATAAAGTCATTAGCGTGGTAACATTTTCAGCCTCATGGATGAGTACTGGTCATTACAAGAAATTATCCATCAAAAATAACTGTTTATACAATGAACACATACATATTCTTGTGATATTCTAAGATCACTTGAAAATTTCAATTATGGTAAGTAGAGTATCAACACTGGAATGGTAACATTATGATTTTTGGCCCTGTTAGCATTGGTTGGGGAATATTAATTCTTCTAAAGGAAAATATATGTAGATAGATATATAAGTAATACACAAACATATACCCTACACCATAAACCCACATATGTATATATGTATTCATATAGGGCTGGGGATTTAGCTCAGCGGCACAGCACCTGCCTGGCAAGCTCAAGGTCGTGAGTTCAGTTCTCGGTACCAGGAAAAAAAAAAAAAGGATCAGTAATATATGTATTCACATAGTGTAAGAAATAAATGAATAAATTCATACAGTATAAGAAATTCACATAATGTTAGAACGTTCAAGCCATATTAAAACATTAATTAGGTCCTAATACCTAATCTTTACCTTTTATATTAAGAAGGTCATAATAAAATTTAAAAAGCATGTCATAATCCTCGCATATCATACGCTGGGATTCTTGGAAAGTCATACTACTACTGCAGCTGCTTACCAGTTCTTCAGAGGTCAAATGCACCAAACGTTCAGCTATTGCAGCACACTGGGCTGGGTCTCTTAGAAGTTTTCCTCGTCTATCATTGACTACTACTTCTGGCCACGGCAGTCCTTCATTCTTCTTAATCAAAGAAATCTCCAAGCTAAAAGTTTAAATGAGAAAGGTGATGTTACATTAAGGAACTATTCGAATTATGCGATCAATAAGAAATAGAAGATTCTATAGAAATTACCCTCTTCACATCCAGCAGGTATTTTATCAAAACCTTGTTCACTTTAATTTTACACATGATGGAAAATCTAAAACTCAAAGGTAAATAAATGATTTAATAAACAAAACAGGAAAGTACCACTGGAAATGGTGTAGCAAATAGTTTGCAGAGGGAAGTGAATATGAGGAAAGAGAACTCAGTTTCATTGCAGTCTAGGTGTAAAGTGTGTTACTAAATGTAAGTAACAAAAATAGAAGTAGTGTGGATCTATGAGGCCTTGGGAAACTGGGGTAGGGGTACTAAAGCAAGGCAAGGGCCTACAACTGAAGAGTACTACCTCTTGCTGTATGGAGCCAACAATTTATCTTCATAAACTAAAAGCTATAATGTATGACTAACAGATCATGCAGGTTAATCCATAAAACTATTACGCTTTAAAATACAAATTTTAAAGAACTGAAAAGATCTATGTAGGCAGTAGATAAAACATAACTGGTAATAAAGATGCTAATGTAGTCTCTATTAACTCACTGAAAATCAAATTCTGTACAATGAAGTCATTCACAGAGAATTCCAAATGCACTAAAAAGAGTCTGTCAGGGAACTGAAGTCAGTGGCTGAAGTGTAGGAAAAGGAAAGAAAGCTGAGTCAAGGCAGACCATGGACAAGAAAAGGGCTGGTGACCTATGCTCCTAGGACATAGGAGAGGAAACTCAAAATGCTTAAGGAGCAGCCACTCTTTCAATGGACCGAAAAGTAGGACGGTGGTAGCTGTTAACAGCAAACTTTTCCACGCGCCATCTTTGTTACTCGTGCACACTACCCCACGCGCAGGGCACATCTGCAGGTAAACAACTACAAGAATACGGTAACTGTTATCATAACTGTCACACGGATCATGCACACTTACCGGACTCTCATTTTCAAGCCTGTAATTATCACCACTTCATGAATTAATTACACCATTTCAAATTTTTTGAACATACTTAAGACACCATACAAAACAATACCTCTCGTATGTAATAGGAGTTCCTATCATTAGCACTGAAACTTACCATCACGATCAAAAATGCTCAGACTTTGTTATATTTTCTAAGGACAAGGCTAATCCTGGTGATGATGAAGGTGATAATAAAAATAATGACAGCAGTTCCTACTTCCCTAATGCTTTCCACAGGATAAGCAGTGTCTTAAGAGTTTAATGTTTTAACTCATTCACTGCTTACCACAAACAAAGTAGGTACTACTATCACACTCATTTTACAACTAAGGAAAAAAGCACTGAGAAATTAAGTAACTTGCCAAGGTCACCAGGTAGGAAAGCAGTCTGGCTGCAAGTCCATGTTTTACTACTGCACTATTCTGCCTCTCTGAAAAAAATGTACGTAACTTTTAAACAACTTTTACCCAGTGACCAGACATATAAACATGTCCTTAGCTACTGACTACAGAGGTCTGAAAGAGTTAAGGCAATCTTAGCTACAAAGAATTCTGACCTACTGCTAATTTGCACACCTAGACAATGCAGCCCTTTTAGCCTGGCTACATTTCTATATTTTAAAACTAGTACTATATGCTGCTATCCAAGCAAAACAGAAACATACACTGTACAAATTAAATTACAAACTAGTTTAACAAATCCTCCCAAAGTGATAAAGAATACTGTTTGAAAATTAGAGGTATGAATAATTTAATCAAGTACAAAAAAATTGTGTTTCTAAACCAAGATACCACCTACACTCCATGGTAGTTATCTTTTGTAACAAAAATAGTATTTAAACAGCTCAAATCTACTGGAAAAACAAGACTGGTCTATGTTCATGTATTGAAGACTAATTTGTACGAAGTCTAGCTCTTCTAGACTTTTGCTGGGTTACTGCCCGATGACTTACATTTAACAGCATGTCCTAGCTGGTTTGCTAATTTACACATGCTATCCTGAAACCTCTCACATTCACATACACATGATGAATGGAATATGTGAAGATATAAAGTATTTGTAAAGAACCTTTTAGATAATTATTTTTCATGTACTAAAAAATATAACCAAGTCACCAAACAACTCCATTAGAAAATGAATTTAAAATATCTCTTTTAAAACTAAAAATTTTCTTTGAACTGGTTATTTTTTAGAATTCAATGATTTAGACTATTAGACTCACATGGGTCATATGTTACTAGTCAAGTACTATATGTATTGCTCTAAGGGGTATCCAATCTAGAGAAAATTATACAAAACAAACTGAACTAGCATAAAAGATGAATGAAGTTAAGCTGTTGGGACCTTCTCCTTAAATGATTCACAGAAATTGAGCCTTTGGACAGAGGGAAGTATAACCTGTATGACAACACATGTTGAGTTTTTACACTAGGTATTCTCAATATGTATTTGACAAAAACAAGTTGGATTCAAAATTGATAGTTTTGTTAATTTTAAAACCATTACTTTTAGAAATAAGTAACAGGGCCAGGAATATTGCTCAGCGGCGTAAGCGCCTGCCTGGCAAGCCCAAGGTCTTGAATTCGATTCCTGGTACCAAAAAGGAAAAAAAAAAAACCTAAAAAAATAGAAATATGTAATAGAAGTCAAGACAGTGTTCCAAAATGATCTTTAGAAACTTTGCAATGGATAGAACAGAATGTTTTCAATCATCTACCAGTACAGTCTTTTGTGGAAGATACTTTGATATCTCTGCTTTACTAGTAAAATTGTGTCTGTCTATCTTCAGGGCAACAAGAGAATTTTTATAATGAACCAAAAATTAGTGCTGAATTAAGTGGCACTTAATGTCCAGAAGTCACTTTGATGTGTGAGGTAACATAGGTGTCAAAGTAACAAGCAGCACAAGAGGCTTTTCCACAATAAACAAAGGTGTTATATTAAAGCTGCTTTCTCAAAACAGCAAACACACATTCCATGTAGTAACAAACTGCGGCAGAGAGTTAAATTCTACGTTCAGAACCCTGAATTAACTGCAAATATTTCACCGTTGGCTCACCTATGATCTGAGATGATGTTGAGGTAAGAAAAAGTCCTCCAACTACAATTTAATGCAATGGGGGAAAAACCCAAAACTAGAAATCCCAGCTAATGTCTTTAGATCATTTCTGTACTGTTTTATGGGTTCATTTCGCCTGAAAGAGCTTAAACTGAAGCAGTGTTTCTTATTTTGGAGGTTTTATAGTGTGACTGATTGATTTTGCCATGGTAGGGGCTGAGCCTACAGCCTCTCGCGGAGCTATACACCCAACCCTTTTTAGTTTGCGACAGGGTTTTGCCAAATTGTCAGGGCTGAGCTTGATCTTACAAGCCTCCTGCCTCAGCCTTCAAAACAGCTGAGATTACAGGTGTGTGTGGAGTGTGCCTAGCTGGCAGTTGATTTTAATTCTGGCTATTGTCTGGAAAAGATGGACTGTATGTGGGGATATGAAGCAGCGTTCCCATAAAAATACATGTTTATTTTGTATTAAAAATATCACGTGCTTTTTTCCACACATTTATACACATGTGGCGATATTAATCTGAGGTATAATATTCAGGAATTAAAATGTGATCCTACAATTCAAACACAAACTAGAAATACACCTTACAAAAATACACCTTACGTAAAAATCTTCAGTTTATCCTTTATGCAACATTAATCTAAATCAAAAGATTTAGGTTGCACTAAATCAACTAAATACCCATTTTTGCTGAACTTTGACTATTTAAAAACGTAAGTGACTAGCACGTTCATTAACTTATTTATAAACTCAGTAATTACTAAGATTTAATCTATAATGAAAGAAAGTAACTTAATGAACTCAGATGATTGATAAGTGAAATATGTGGGACAAGATATTTGTAAAAAAAGATGGTAGTAGGGGCAGAGGATCGATGTTTCATTAAAAACTTTACCAATTTACTTAAAATATATTTTTATTTCTTTTATTAAAGCTAAATTATAAACAAAACTCAAAACTGTTATGTGGACTTCTCTGAATTTAATAAATGCATTCACCTGTATAATGCAATGAAGATATTGAACATTTCTACCATCTAGGAACTTTCCTTATGACTAATGATGACTTTTCATGTGTTTGCTAGCCACTCATGTAATTTTTATCATGATATTCATATTAAAATCATTTGACCATTTCAAAAGTTGGATTTTCTTTTTTTTATGAGTTTGTGATATAAGTCCTTTGTTTATTATGAATACCATATTTTTTCCAGTCCATGGTTTACCTGTTTTATATTCTAAATTTCTCTTTAGGAGAGCTGAAATTTTCAATTTTGACGTGCAAAATACTTTTGGGTAAAATGCCATTTATCATGTTGTTTGTCTCTCTCCTAAGTTACACAATTCATAAAAGAAATATAAATAGCCAATTTACATTAAAAAATTTCCTTAACCTAATTAAAGAATATATTAATTATGAAAGAATGTTAATTATTCTACTTGCAGGAATTTATCTTTCATATGTATTTCTACACATGTTAAATGACATATATATGTAGTTATTCACTGTAGCAAAAGACTGCAAATAACCTAAATGCAAATAACCTAAATGTATAACAGTGGAGAACCAATTTTTTAAATGATGTACAATCAACAGAGTAAAATATAACAAAGCTAGAAAAGGGGATTTAAAAAATGTTGCATATTCTTAATAGAAAAATATTAATATTTACTGCTCAAAATGAACAAAAGCAAGCTGTACAAATAGCATGTGTCAAAATAAACAGAAAAATATACATGTTACTGAGACAAATGTGTATTTTTAGATACAAAATATCTCTGGAAGGAAACTAAACAACAGCTGTACCACACAGGAGAATGTATGACTTAGCAGGCCTGGGTTGAAAGGAGCCTTCTCATTCTACCTTGTGTCATATAGTGTATTTTAAATTTCAAAGAGTAGTAATGTAGCTGGGGATATAGCTTAACAGTACAGCGCCTGCCTGGCAAGCATGAGGTCCTGAGTTTGATTCCCGGTACTCAAAAAAAAAAAAAAGAATAATATTGTATTATTCAGTAGCAAATTAAACTAAACAAAAAATTATTTCTATTACAAAACTTTAAAACACAAATTAGAATACCTATTTTTACCTTTTATTATTAGCATATCCAGAGCCAGTAATGAAAAGCACTGATATACTGCATATTGCAAGTAATAACTAAATACACTAGTCTCTTTAACCTAAACTACAATTATATTCCTTGATACAGTAACTTCATTTTTAACCTATCTTAAGAAAAGTAATAAACCAATACAAACAGAAGTAGTACATTCACCCTGGATGCAATTATTACATATACAGAGAGCAAAAATTTTAAAAATATAAAATTACAAAAGATAATTTCAAATATAAAACTATAAAAAAATACCTATTATTCTCTTTAATTATCCAGGTACTACTTTCATGATCAATACATGAGTAGAGCTTTCCTTCCAAAACCTGGAGATTCTTCAGCACAATGTTTATGTGATCAGGTAAAAACCCTACTTGAATGTCCTCCTTGGAGATGTCTTCTGGAAGTTGTATTGTTACTGTCAAATCATCTTCAGTCTGTTGCCAGTAATACAAAGGTTCTACTGGGAAAGGAAAAATGCATTATACAATAATAAAAATGAGACTATACCATACAAAATTAGAAATTATAAATATAAAACAAAACTATCCAGAAGAACCTCAGCATACTTTCTAGTGGTCATCTCTGAAAAAAATCAAAAGTGAACACATAGACTTCTTTGGGGAATTTTCGTTCTAAGAGTTACAGCAACTGTATGTGATATTCTCCTCTTTCAGGCTTACCTAATGATGCAGAAGATAGGAATTCACAAAATACACTAGGAGCAATTCTTTATTCCCGTTCTTTCCCTCTCTGCCTCCTCCTCGTATCCCTCCTCTCCTTCTCCTTCTTTCCCCTACAGCACCCCACCAACAGAGAGTAGATTCCTCATTGAAAATACAAAATACGCTTCCATCATAAATTAGCAAAGCAGTTTATATGTAAGAATCACTCAAATGACAACTTCTATCAGACATTGGGGACTGGGGAGTCTGTAAAATCATATGAGCCTTGAGTATAAAAGCCAAGGAAGCAGACTTTTAATGGGAAAGCAAGGATTTTTTTAGTCTCTTCAATGAAGTATACTGTCTGTTGCTTTGAGTATCTATCTGTGCCCTTAGAGATTATGTGCTAAGTCTCTAAAAGAAAATATTATTTGTATTATTTAATAATACCAAATATCCAGTAGACAATATCAGTCTTCCTGTGGTTCACAGAAAAACAAAACCAGTACGCATACTCAAGTATTGTGTTAATAATCTGTAATTTTTAAAAACTTGTAACACGTTTCTTTGCAATTGTGGAAGTTCTGGGACAAAATAACAAATTCAAAGTCATAACATAAGGTATCAGTAAGAAAACCAATACCGGGACTCACAGTTAGTGACTTAAACACATGTGTTCCACTTAGCTGTAATCCGTCTTAGAACTTCATGGTCCTTGGCAATCTAGGCAGAATGGCTCTAATGGTGAAGGCATTCATTCATTCTCTGCTTTGCAACTACTTACTAAAGGAGCTGTAAAAGGGTCTGTGGTCTAAGGATTTAAACAGTTAATTTGGGAAAGCTTTAGGACAATTGAACATCGTAATTAAGGCAAGATGGCAGCATTTATTTGGAAAGGGATCTTAGAGATAACCTAATGAGAAACACATCATATATGAGGAAACCACCATGTTAAGACACTAACACACAGGTATTTAAGGCCAATAAGCACAACTTCTTTGTCTTAAGAAGTGCATATATTTATAAACCTGGGGATATTTAAAAATATTTACTCCTTTAATATTTTTAAATACTTTTCAAATAATTCATTTTTTAAACTATAAAAATGAAAGTAATTGTCATTAAAGAAGAAAAGGTACATCCAAAGAATTGGATGCATAATTACTAAATATTGTAAACATTTCAAATAAAATAAATATTTGCTTGCTACATACTGGCTATGAACATCAGAAATATAAACAGTAGTATGTTCTCTTGAATAGCTTCAAAAGAATATGTATCTTTCACATCTAAATTTCTTCCAAAGACTGTTAATTTTCTTCTAAAACATGCCCTTTATTTATTCATTCAACATTAAGAACACTTACTGATACTGCCCTCAAGGGACGGACTTTCAGTTTAACAGAAACATGCACAGCAGTTCAGCTTATCTCAGAAGATCGCCACCTCCAATGCTATCACATTTATTTATCTGATCAGTGTTTATTAAACATCTAGTCAAGTAAGCTAATATATGGACTTTCTTGAGGGATGAGAAGGGTAGGGGATGAAAAAAGAAGATGTGCTGTGTGCATGTACTAACTCCCCAAGATAAAAGTAATCATTACCTACTCTAAAACTTACTAAAAATAATAATAATAAAAAAACTTTGATAATTACATTTTTTTTCTCCTGTAAACTCCTGGGGATTGAATAAAGGGACTTCACACTGACCTATAATCCCAGCCCTTTTTTAAGTTTTAATTTGGAGACAGGATCTCGTTAACTTGCTAAGTTACCCAGGCTGGGCTCAAACTTGCAATCTTCTTGCCTCAGCCTCCTAGAGTACTGCAATTATTGGCATGTGCTACCCATGTCCAGTTTGATAATTACAAAATTAACATATGACATCAGTTTACACTATTTATATGGTTTATTTTACAAAAAGAATTCTTTGGAAAATACAGGAGATACTAAGAAGATACTAAGAAAATACTAAGAAATACTAAGCATCTACTAAAACCAAGAAAAACTAAGCATCTACCCTGCTCTGGCAGAACCCATCGTCTAACTGGGAAGACAAAACAGATGCAAATGTGTGTTCAGAAATACACACAAGCTCTAGCTATGAAGATTAAACACAAAATCACCTTTGTTTTTCTCTGACACGTCTTCATCTGTATTTTCTTCAAACTCTTGACTCATACGAACAAATTTGAAGGACTTGTAGGAAATAATCATTAGACCATTCCCACTGGGCTCAACAGCAGCGTAATGTGGTACTGACTTTCCATGAAGAATATCACGCTTAGTAATTTCATATTTTACATTATCTGTAAAGAAATAGTGTTTCAGAACAAAACATTACAATTAATGAATATTAATTTTAAGTATTCTAAATGTATTATTAAAAGGCACATTATGAAGCATCTTTTCATATGGATAAAAACTTTACAATCTGATTTTGCTACTTTAAAATATTCCGTCTCATAAAATTGACTGTCCAATGTGGTAACCACTGACCACAAGTGATTATTTAGCTAAAATTAAGTAAGGTTTAAAAGTCAATTTCTCAGGCATACTACTCACATTTCAACTGCTCAACAGCCATATATGGCCAATAGCTACTGTGTGTAGTGAGTGACACATATAAAACATGTCCATCTCACACAAGTTGTCAGTGGGTGGTAGAACTCTGGATATTTGAAGTGACTGACTTACCTGCAATATCAGCTTCATACTAGTATTTGTAATTTTTAAGATATAAACAATTAACTATATCCTCAAAATTTGCTATATTAACTAAATTTATTCTCCTGTGAAGATAGGATACTTTTTGTTTTAAATAATACTTTCAACAGAGTCTGTATCTTTGCTTATATTGTTACTATGTAAAGTGGGTTATATTGGTAAGCTTCAAAATGAGTAGTCAACCCAGTATTGTATTGTTATGAATTAAATATAATTTATTCTAAAGCATCTGTTGTTAATGGTATAAGTCCTCACCTGCCTTCACGTATTCAATTTATACATATATAAGAGCAAGCTTTTAATCTCGTGTATGAACTAAAAACTATACTCTCTCCACAGATACATGCAGGATAAACAGTCCTGCTGCCTATAAAGACCCAAACTTAGGTACTACATATTTTATAGATGGGCTTTCCCAATATACGTGGGACAGATAGTAATGGATATCAAACAGTGGACTCATGATAAAATAAGTTGGGAAATGCTGGGTTAGAATTAAATTTTCTTTTTTACTTAAATTTTTTAGAAAATGTAATACGCTTAAAGTGTAAAAGGGATATTTATTACATGTCTGTATTTTCAATTTCAACTGACTACAAGATATAATTTATTCAGTGTTTCATTCAACATTGTTTAGAAAAAGGGGTAGGGAGGTAGGAATGTAGTTCATGCAAAAGCCCTGGGCTCAATCCCCAACACTATAAAAAAAAAGGTAACAATTACATTCATAACTGTCAAGGGGAAAAACGAACAAGATGTTAATGATGATAAAGGGAACCAAAGAGAATCAGTGTTTCCACAATCACAATCTTAGAGGAGAAAAAGCAAGATGAGTCTAAACACATCTGTCTAGTTGAGGTGGGGACAAGGTGAAAGACTAAGTAGACTGATGCTGTGTTCCAGGCAATACATGTATTTATGGATATGAAAATTACCAGTACAAGAAATAAATCTGATGAGATACTTGTATTGTGCTAATGCAATTATAGAACCAACTGTCTTGGGGAAAGGGAGGTGGAATACACATGATGATTTCTCCTGTTATTGGGGACTGGGGATTTAGCTCAGCGGCACAGTGCCTGCCTGGCAAGCACAAGGTCATGAGTTCGATTCCCGGTACCAGAAAAAAAAAAAAGATTTCTCCTATTATTGATTTATGCCTTTAATAAAAAAAATTCAATCTTCTACTTTCTAAAGTAGGAGCCCGCAAACCATAGTCCACAAGCCAAAGTTGAATCTAGATCTATTTTTGTATTGCCTGTGAGTTATAAATTTTAAGTAGTTACAAATTCAAAAGAATAGCTAAATATGCACAAAATTCATGTAACATTCAAATGTCAATGTCCATAGACAAACTGCTATTGGAACATGGCTATACTCATTCTTGTACGGACTGTCAGTGGCTGCTTCTATACCACCAAGGCATAGTTAAATGGCAGTGACACAGACCGCATGTTTACCATTTGGTCCTTTGCAGAAAAAGGACCAATGCTTAATCTGAAGTGTTCAGTTGCTGTGTTCCTCCGCAGATGAAACTAAGTTCTGGGAAGAACAAATAAACCATATTGAATACCTCACTGAACAAATCCAGATTTATTCAGCTAACTGATAGTTTTCATATCTATTAACCACAAAGACATATCTTGGTGGTGGTAGTTTATTTCAGAATTAAATGAAAAGATCGCTTAGAAACAATACTGATATCATTTCTTAAATTGTAAGCTAGCAGTGTGGCAAGAAAATATTTTTCTGTAGTGATGAAGAAGTTAACTTACTCATTAAGGGGTAAGCTAATAAAAACTACTGGGAAAAAGCAGAGTCATCGAAAAAGGTCAACTGCCTCTCAACTACGAAAAAAACCAAAACACTGGGTGAGTCAGTAAGAACAAAAGAAAGACCAAGGACCCACTCTCACCATTAAAGAAACCCTAAGTAATACCTTGGAATGTAATTTTTAATGTCAAGTTAAAAGCACGACAGGTTCAAACAGACCTACTTTCAGGACTTTTTACACAAAGAATCACACTGGGTGAGAAAAGGAATGGTTTTATTGGGGGGTAGAGGCAAAAGGCAAAGCTCAGTGAAATAAAGATATTCATTTCCACCTTGGTATTCTTATTTATTTACATTTAAATTACATCATAGTTAATCATTTATTTACACTTGGTTTTATATATGATTCTTGTGCTTATATTCTTGGCTATATTAAAATATAAGTATTAAAGTCTTCAAAAATTATGTAATGTTTCCATTTATAGAAAAGGTATAACTGGCCATGGAAACATATTATAGTTTTATATAACTCAGACCTCAGGACAAACTAGATATTCATTCTACTTGGAGTAGCAGGTGCTAAAATAACACAATGCCTGAGAAAAAGTAAACAGCATTTACAGGGACAGCCTTATATTTGAAAACCTACTAAACGATGTTACCAGTAGAAACTCAGAATTTCATTTTTTTTACCTTTAGTTTTCTTACTGACAGTGACCCATTCCAAAGAAACATAGAAACCACTTCCTTTCATATCCAACTCGTCTTTCTCTATTCGAAGAAGTAGGGCAGCTACTGAATGTTCTTCAGCTTTTAGCAAAGAGATACTGTGAATTATGATAAAAGGGTTCCCGAGCTCTTCATTGAACACAATCTACAAAACAATGAGATATACAATAAGGTACATTTACATGAACAGAAAGTAGAGGAGGAATACATAAAACCCTGACAATAAAATTACTTTGAATACTAATAAAAAGAATTAAAAAGTAAAAACTGTTTAAATATAGACTGCATTTAAATAAATACTCCCCGAAGAAAGAACTTTAAAAGAATATATACTTGTAAAACAAAAACACTGACCAGTAATCCTGGTTAAAAACAGAGAAAATTACAAGGCATCCAAATAGCATCTAAAGGAGAAACAGGACTTAAAGTAATCTTCTAGAATGGAAATCAGGGGCAAAGTACTCCGCACAAAAAGAAAGGACACAGGTAGGTCACTATCCACGTTTTCATCTTTTTCCATCTCAGACATATATGACTTATTTTTGCTTTCTTCATCGTTGCTGGACAGTGTACAGTATACATGCCCGGGGAAGTTGGCTTTAAGGCTACTGTTTTCATTTCCCAGACTTTTTTGAAGAAAATAAAAGGCATCAGAAAACAAATCACTAAAACTTTAAGTCAAAACCAAAAGCCCATTTGCATTTAAAAGATAATTCAACAAGTTCTAAAATATAATCTTCAAGTTTTCCCCCCCCATAAGCAAATCTAAAGACACACAGAATCCAATCAAATTATTTTTATACCATAAACACAAGGTTTAAAAAACCATTATATTTTTATTAAAACATTAATTAGGGTTTTAAGACTGATTCATAAACATGGCTTCTAAACAAATGAAAACATGCACAGTTGAAAAGAAAACCGAACTAAAAAACTTTTTAAATCTGTACAGGGAGTCCTCATATATCTCTACTGGGAAGCCTTATTAAAAAAATGTGCTATGTCATCAATTTCTCTGCGTTTAAGCACCTCTGCCCAAATTGTTTAAATAGTAGGCCTTTTGAATTCACTCTGAAGACTTGCACGTGCACACACACACACACACACACACACACACACACCCCACACCCGTCCCTTCAAATACTCAGAGCTGAGATGACAGATGAAAACCGTTCTGAACAGGCCGATTGAGCTTTGCTCTGTTTGGGAAATAGAAACCAAAGGCAAAAAGAGAAAATGATAAATTCTGGCAGGTACAAGCAGTGAGCTTATCTTCTCCTTTTTCTTCCTCCTAGAGTGGTAGGAAAAGCAATGAGGCTGCAGAAGCAGATGACCAGACTATTAAAAACTGCTAGACAGAGGCCTTTAGTTTCTTTTCTTTTTTTTTTTTTAAATGAAAACAGGCAGATGGATCTTTTGTAACTGAAAAGGGGATCTAGCCCAGCACCTCAACCATGACTCTGTTGATATCTAGCACTTTCATTACATTACAGGCAACACATCTGGAAAGCAGACAGTCTTCTCTATCTCCTTTAATTTCTTTTTCTACCCTTTAATCACCTCCACCATCATTGCTTCCCTTGTGCCCTAGTGTGCCTCTTAATCACACCCACCTTTAGCTTTCTTTTTATTAAACCTATTCTCCCAAAGCCCTTAAAACTTTTCTAAATTGTTCCTTAACGTGACTAATATTGTACAGTAACCCTCTTCCCTCAATTAATGCCAAATTCCCACTCTCCTCCCATTCCTCCCAAGTACAAAACAACTTTCATTAACTGAAAACATCTCAGAAGGGTGCTCATGCTATTACAATAGTAGGTAGTACAAAGGGCATGAGATAGATATAAATTTCTAGCTGATTATATGCTAAGGGAACATACAACAGAAACTAAAAGAATTATGCATCCCTATTCACCTCCTTCTAGTTGACTCTGGGATCAGCTATTTTTAAGATGATAGCAAACTGAGTCAGTTTGTTTACTCCTCCTCAAGACCAACAAAATCCTCAGAGCTCAATAATAAGTTCTCATTTATATCTCTCATACCCATCATTCTCAAAATACCTTCCTACTTTTCAAATATCTAAACATGAAACGCATCACAGTATCTCAATTTTTTTTTTAAGCTAATACTGGAGGTCAGAGTAGAAAATATCAGAACATCCAATGAATATCTGCAACTCTTTTAAACAAGCAATTATTGTGACTATTTATTGTTTGTTCTGAACATAATATAACTTGTTAGCATACCACTTCATAAAACTTAGTAAAATAGGTAAGTTCTCATTTTTCTCAAATAATTAAAGCCTGGTTCTTACCAACATCTTTGATTTGATAAAATATTTCATAACACCTAAAAATATTAAACTTACACCTATTTAACCTAAAAATTAATGCTGAGATTTAGATTGTAGTAGTATTACAATGTACTTATTAATAAAAAACAAAGGAGTTGAAACATTAAATCATTTGATAACTCATGATCATTTTTTCCTAATTTCAAAAAGAGGCTCTAGAAAAACTAATTCCTTATTATTAGCATCAAAATCCTGACTACCACTCAATTTTTACACCATAACATATTTTTCTAAATAGAGAATATTTAGAGCAGAGAAAATATATCAGCAAACCTAACGTGAGTATAGAGGAGAAAAAGATAACAATGTTAGCTTTGTTCAATGCTTCTTCAAGGAGAAGAGGCAATATTGATGCTCATGGCAGTGGTTTACACATCCACTCAGGCTGTAGCTGCAGAAAAATTTAACTCCACTGTCAAATGCCTGAAATCCTGACTGTGATCATAGCCTCATGAGAAGCCCTCAGCCAGACCACACACTTAAGCCACTCCCTGACTTCTGACCATACAAACTGTATGAGATGAGTAATGTTTATTGCTTCAAGTCACTAAGTTCTGAAGTTGCTATACAGCAATAGATAACCATCTGAAGCAACCTGATTTTCCCTTAATTGTGGACCTAACGATCAGTATATTAATTCACTAATTATAACAACTGCACTGACCCTGGATCAAAATAGGAATGGTTAATACCCATTGTCTAAAAGGTATATATCTTATAATTTAATTAAATAAGAGATCTAGAACATTATATCAGAAAAATCAAAAGGGCACATGTGGACTGGCCTTGAAAAGTACTATTAAAATAAAGTCCAGGCCAGGCATGGTGGTGCATGCTTGTAATTCTAGCACTTGGGAGGCTGAGGCAGGAGGATTGCAAATTCAAAGACAGCCTGGGCTACAAAGTAAGTTCAAGGTCAGCCTGAACTGCATAGTGGAATCCTCTCTCAAAAAACATTAAATAAAGAAATAAAGAAATAAAGTTTAATTTGCATATGCTTTCTGGACTTTGCATAATCTTAAAAAGAAAAAAAATACCACTCACTTCCCATTTTTCTGAAGTACTACTTCCACGTTCACCTGTTCCAATGACATACAATCTTCCAGTCCCATCTGACAAGGTAACCAAGGTAGATGATGTAAAATGCATAGATGCACAAAGGCGATTATCATATGCTGTCAAATCTGTAGGAAGTCGAAATACCTCTCGTGGTTTTCCTAATGCAGTGTCCTGAAAAAACCCAAACATTGTAAGTGAATTACTTCCTCTTTCAGGATCTATAAACACAGAAAACATAGTGTATTAGTTTCTCTTTTATTTAAGAATTAGAACTAACTCCCCTACCTCTGAGCTCTAATACTGATTCATTCCTAGCAAATTAAATATGGTAGACAGGATAGATGGCATGTAACCTCCAGGCCTACAGATCATCAAACACTTATTATCTTCTGCCTTGCTCTCTTTCTTGGATCCTATACTCTAAGTGAAAGTAGCTACCAGGTTGTAAAGATGCAGAAGCAGCTCTGGGAAGAACCCATATGTGGAGGAACTGTGTGGGCCCTGCTCAATAACCAGCACCCTCTGAATAAAATGTTTTTAGAAAAGTATCCTGTGGCCTTAATGAGGCCATCAAATGACCGCAATCCTGGCAGATCATAACCTCAGGAGAAGCCCTCAGCCAGACCACCCATTTAAACCATTCCCTGATTTATCACCACACAAACTATGTGAGATGAGAAATATTTATTCATAACAATATTTCAAGACATTAAGTTCTGAAGTTCCTATACAGCAACAGACAATGCTATGAGACAATCTGGTTTTCTTTCTTTTAATTGTAGAGTTAATGACCAGTATTTTAAATCACTGATTATAAATATCACATCATGTTCTGAAAGCCTACATAGACGTCAGTTTGCAGAATGAAATACATACATTTACACTACTACAAACTTAGGGATTTGTTTACATGTTTTTAATTGTGCTTGTGCCCTTATAATTTAAAGCTATGAGCTAAGTTGCATTATTAAAATGTTTTAGAAGGAAACATCAAAATGCTTACTAGTCAGGAAATAAGCTTCCTTACATAAACCAGATTGAGCTCAATATAAGTTATTTTTGTATGGGTGGTTCAAGTTTTATTTGTCTGTTAAGATTTTCTCATAGAAGAAAAGTCATCCCTGATTTCTACGTTTCACTTCTTCCTCCTAAAACTGTTTAGATCTACATATGTATTAGTGAAATTTAATATATATACAATATCTTCACAGTCACAAATTTTCAGTGACCCACAGTTTCTTTTTTTGTTTGTTTTTTTTTCCAGTACTGGCAATCGAACTCATGACCTTGTGCTTGCCAGGCAGGCCCTGTGCCGCTGAGCTAAATCCCCAGCCCCAACCCACTGTTTCTTTAAAAGTATCTAATATAGTTTTTTTAGAACACCATTCCTTCTCTTACTGATTTGCATAATGTTGAATTAAATAGCAAGCAGAGCTGGCATAGTTTTAAAGAAACATCAAATCTAAGTATTAATAATTTAAACTAAACTAGAAGAAACAGAATTTATCAACATAGTGCTTAGCCCATTAGCAGTAAATACTAAACCTACTGTGCTCTCCAGTTTGTACGTTTTATAGAAAAATTTTAAAAATATCAGTTAATCCAGTCAGTTATTAAGTGGAGGTCAATTATGAAAAATTGTGCCAGATGCTGACAACCGAATCAGCATTAAGAACATGGGATGTGGTATTTCTACTCAGTGAGAAGAAATGGACTAGTCAACAAATGGTATTGGGACACTGGAGAACCTTTGAGAAAGTTACATTTAATATCTTCCTCCCACATACTCAAAAATATTCCATATCAGATAATATCTAAATGTGTTAAAAGAAAAAGTAAAACAGATTTGTTAGAGGATAAGTGTTTTTACCATCTCAGGGTGGTAAGATTTTCCTATGTACGAGTAAAAAATAATTAGGCTGCAAAGAGAAAAATATTTGTCATAAACAGAAGACTAATTTCTGTAACATATATATGAGTCCTTAAAACAAGAAAAATGCAATTATCTAAAATATTTAATCATGAAAAGAGCATGAAAAGGAAAATTATGGTCAGTTTTTTTAAAAGGTCAAACTTACCAGTAAAAAAAAATATATTAAAATAAGATCCCCCCATTAGTCAGAAAAAAAAAAAAAAATATTAAGACTGGTAATGTTTTTCTTGACTCAAGTATCCTACTGATAGGAATAGAAATTTGTATAAGCCTTTAAGAGATGATAATAAATCGACTTTTATGATGTCTTAAATATACTTTGATACAATTCCCTTTGCAAGAATTTATAAGCATCCTGGCATATGTACAAAAAGTTCCATGTCACAAAAATGCTCATTTCAGCAACACAAATGTAAGCTTGTACCAATAAAAACTATGAAACAATCAAGTTGTTTTATCAGCTGAACAAAGAGGAAAAAGGCAGACCTGATATTACGAAGCCAGCCTAGTCGCACCTGCCAAGTCTTGGCTTTATTGTAAACTAGCCTGGCACTCACAGGACTGTTTTACTGAACATAAGCAATTTACAGAACATAGTGAATGACCATGACAGAGTAAGACAAAAACTCTGTGACTCCATAATGATCTCTGGACACAGATAAAACACGAACACCTGCACAATTATAACTATGACTGTAAATCCAGGTCAATATGAGCAAGTGAAGTTTCCTTGTAACTACAGAACCTGAACATCAGTCTTGCCTTCTCTCCTACATAATGCTCACATAGCGAACAATTACCAAGTTTTTCATTGTATCCACTCAATAAAGTTCAAAGTTCCACTTTCTTAAACCCTCCCCCAAATCACCTAAGACAAGCCCAATTCTTCACTATCTCTGCTTCCGAAGCCTTTTACCAAGACACCCTGTGGGTTCCTTTGTACTGTACATTCTTCCTGCTGCAAAAAGTAGTAAATCCAACTTGTTCAAACACGGAGGTGTGCCTGCTGTCTTTGTCTGGAAAGTACTGGCAGAGAAATAGAACATCCACTCTATACCAAAGAAGTGTTAAATACACTGAAGTAGGCTTATATTGCTGATAGAAAAACCCAGCAAAGCCAAAAAAGATCAACAAGATACTAGCTAAAAAAAAAAAAAAAAAAGATGCAGAACATGTTCAATAGAGGCTGAAATAAACATTGCGTTACGTCAGCACACAGTAAGACACAGACTGATTTGGTAATACTCACCATTTTGAAAAAAAGGATTGGAGTATGACTGGTGCTAGGGGAGATTGAGCATAAAAGTACATTTTCCCTCTCTGCTTCAAATACATACTTTTTTCACACTGAGCAATTTACGACTGCTATATACATGTATTAATGGCAAATATTAACCCAATAAAATGGGAATCTTTCTTCAAAATAGTTGTTTCAAAGCAAAGGTCTCCAGTGGTTTACTACATACTGTTCACTGTATTTCACCTAGAGAACCACTATCAGGAGGAATGCAGGGATAAACTTGTTAAATCACTGTTCTCCAGTTCATACACAATACAATGTTTTAATCCATTTTCTGCTAAATACATGGTTACCATGACAGAGGTTGGCAGAAATGTAATTATTCAGATAATCTGGTATAATATGCAATAGAATAATTGAGAAACTCAAGTATACAAATGTAAAACTAAAATTAATTTAAAACATACACAAAACACATAGCACCACTCTTATTTGAGTTAGAAGAGTATCACAGTGAAAGCAATCTACTATTCCTGGAGTTTGAAATTTAATTCTCGCCAGGCGTGGGGGCGCACGCCTATAATCCCAGCACTTGGGAGGCTGAGGCAGGAGGATTGCTGTGAGTTCGAGGCCAGCCTGGCTACAAAGTGAGCTCAAGGCCAGCCTGAACTGTATAGCGAGACCCTGTCTCAAAAAAAAAAAAAAAAAAAAGACAAAAAAAAGTTAGAAATCTAATTCTCAAAAAGTACATTTTAATTTTAACTGCACTATAAGCAACGAAATCTTTTCCTTTGTAAATCCTGCACTAGAGCATTACATTACTTCTGAATAACCTCCACTGGTAATTTTCCTAAGTGTCCTCATAATAGCATCTTGTATGTATAACTGGATCTATAATATCCAAATTTCACCCATTTTCTTTTTCCTCACAAAGAGACCATGTTTAAGAATATTAAAAAATCATTCTGAGGTAATATTTCACAAAGATTTCACTGACAAGTAGAACACTATGATGATTATAATATTTAAGCATATTAAGAACTTTGACTTTCGTCATCTCATTTAATCACTACTTGCAGTTGAAATTATTACTCCTACTTTAATGCAGAAAGGTTCAAAAAGATTAATGTGACTGTAGCTCCACTGTTAGAAGATGGCAGGGCCAAGATTCAAATCATGATCAGCCCTACTCCAAAAGTGAGTACTTTTTCCTTCTATTTCACATTTTCTACAGAAAAAAACATATTTCCCACATTTTTCAAAACAACTGATACTTGGGTCTCAGTGCAACTTCTAGAATACCAACTTTGACTGCAACTATCAGACTCACTTTTTCTTCAGGCTATTCAGGCTATCAGATAGTATTTTCAGTCAAAATTACTGAGTCAGCTAGATGTAATACAAGACTGTAATGTCCACGTATCATATACAAATGGGTGTATAAATAAACAGTACATAAGCCACACATGTTGATGACAAAAATTTGGGACCCTCACAGTTGCAGTTAGAAGTGGAGAAGCTCTGAATTAATGAAGTACTTTTCTAATACACACATATTCACTGGAAGGGGTCACTCAAGCTTTAAAAAATGGTCAGGCAAAAGTAGGGATGTAAAACTAAAATTAATTTTAGTAGTAGGGATGCCCTTTCCTAGTATTATTACACACTGGTATTGAAATTTTGCCCTTTTAAAAAGGAAGTGGTCTTTTTCTGAAGAAAAGCTTTCATCACTAAGAACTATTTTCATTTAGAAGACAGTCTCTCTTTTTCCTTCTTTTTGGCTAAACCTTTAATAGGTATTTTAATCAATTATAGTTTGATTAGTGTCTAAAATGAATATTTCAATGATGTATTAAACATACAAGACTGAAGATTAAACCCAGGGCCTATGCACTAAGCTATATCCCTACCCCTTTAAAAAAACATTTTTTTTGAGATAGGTTCTCACAACATCACTAAGTTACCCAGCCTAGGCTGGAACTTGCAATCCTCTTGTCT